TATATATAAAAAAATTTATTCCTTGTTTGTCTATTCATCTTGAGATCAATCTCTAAAATACTTTCTTACATCTTCGTTCTTTTTCCCATACATCTGATTCTTCTTCTGTCAAGATATTTCTATTCGTTCTTTTTCGATCGAAAAATGTATTTGTATCTTTTTCGTCGTCTTTCTATCTAGCTTAATCTTTTCTTTTTTTCCTTCGTTCATATTGCACATATTGTTTTTGTCTATCTATCTATCTATCTATCTATCTATTTTAGTCTGTTTTTTGTCTATCTATCTATCTATCTATCTATCTTAGTCTGTTTTTGTCTATCTATCTATCTATCTATCTATCTTAGTCTGTTTTTGTCTATCTATCTATCTATCTATCTATCTATTTTAGTCTGTTTTTGTCTATCTATCTATCTATCTATCTAATTGAGACTTTTTCTATCTATCTATCTATCTAAGTCTTTTTCTATCTATCTATTTCAGTCTGTTCCTATCTATCTATCTATCTATTTCAGTCTTTTTTTGTCTAATTCAGTCTTTTTCTTTCTATCTATCTATCTATCTCAAACTGTTTCTATCTATCTATCTCAGTCTGTTTCTACCTATTTATCTAAATCATTTCCTTCCACTTACCGTTCTTTCTCTATCTGTATATTTTCTGTTCTCTCACTGGCGTTTAGCTCTTGCTAATTTCTACATTTCTCTCAATCGAAATACATTTTTATCTCTTTCTAACTATCTAAATCTATGTCGGTCTCTTCCTGTCTATCTAAATCATTTTCCTCTCTTTCGTTTTCTTCCTGTCCAAACATTAACTTCTCTCTTTTGTTCGCTTCATTTCTAAAACTTTTCTCTCTCTTCCCTTCCAACTTAAATCTTTTCTTTCTCTCTTTCCTTTTCTTCCCATTTAAATCTTTCCATCTCTCTTTACTTCTCTTCCTATTTAAATCTTTTCCTTCCTTCTTTTCTTCTCTTCCCATTTAAATGTTTTACTTCTCTCTTTCCTTCTCTTCCTATTTAAATCTTTTCCAATCTCTTTTTCTTTTTCTTCCTATTTAAATCTGTTCCTTTTCTCTCCCCTTCTCTTTCTATTCAATTTTTCTTCTTTCTTTCTTCTTCCTTTTTAAATCTTTTCCTTCTATTCCCGTTTATATCTTTCCCTCTCTCTTTCCTTCCCTTCCCATTTCAATATTTTCCTCTCCCTTTCCTTCTCTTCATATTTAAATCTGATTACTTTTCTCTTTCCTTCTTTTCCTATTTAAATATTTTCCTTTTCTCTTCTCTTTCCTTCGCTTCTAATTTAAATATTTCTCTCTCTCTGTGTCTCTCTGTCCTTCTCTTCCCTCTCTTTCTTCCTATTTAAATCTTTTCTTTCTCTCTTTCCTTCCCTTTCTAATTAATTTTTTCCCTCTCTCTTTCTCTTCCCATTAAAAAAAATTCCTTCTCTCTTTCCTTCTCTTTACATTTAAATCTTTTCCTTCTCTCTTTCCTTCTCTTTCCATTAAAACTTTTACTTCGCTCTTTCCCCCTCTTTCTATTTATATCTTTCCCTCCCTCTTTCCTTCGCTTCCCATTTAAATCTTTTTTTACTTCTCTCTTTCCTTCTTTTTCTATTCAAATCTTTTCCTTCTCTCTTTCCTTCTTTTTCTATTCAAATCTTTTCCTTCTCTCTTTCCTTCTTTTTTTTTATTCAAATTTAAAAAAGAAAATCTCTTTCCTAAAATTCTATTTTATTAAATTTCTTATCCTTCTCTCTTTCCTTCTTTTTTAAATTCAAATCTTTTCCTTCTTTCTTTTAAATTTTTTTCTAACTTAAATCTTTTCCTTCTTTCTTTTCCTTCTTTTCTATTCAAATCTTTTTTTCCTTCTTTCCTTCTTTTCTATTCAAATCTTTTCCTTCTTTCTTTCTTTTTTATTTCAAATCTTATCCTTCTTTCTTTTTACTTCTATTTCTATTCAAATCTTTTCCTTTCTTCTTTCATCTCTTTTTTTCAAATCTTTTCCTTCTCTCTTTCCTTCTTTTTCTATTCAAAAGGAAAACTTCCTTTTTTTTTTCTAGTTTCTTTCTATTCAAATCTTTTCCTTCTTTCTTTCCTTCTTTTTCTATTCAAATCTTTTCCTTCTTTCTTTCCTTCTTTTTCTATTCAAATCTTATCCTTCTTTCTTTCCTTCTTTTTCTATTCAAATCTTTTCCTTCTTTCTTTCCTTCTCTTTCTATTCAAATCTTTTCCTTCTCTCTTTCCTTCTTTTTCTATTCAAATCTTTTCCTTCTTTCTTTTATTAAGGACATATTCAAATCTTTTTTCTTCTCTCTTTCCCTTTCTCTTCGGTCCAAAAAGGATCCTCTCTGTTTTTTCGAGATTTCTCTCTAATTCTGTTCACCTCTCTTTCATTCTCTTACTATCTATCGAAACCTTTCTCCTCTTTCGCTCTCTTCATATCTACATGTTTGTTTTCTTTCTTTCTTTCTTTTTTTTCTTTCTTTCTTTCTTTTTCCTTAACAGTTAATAACGTTTTAAAAATATCCGTGAACAAATCTCTGAGATTTGCACACATGAAATCTGTTCCAATAAGATCCAAATATCCTGATTTAACATTAGAAAAATAAAAGTTACAAGGCCATGGTTGAGAAAATAGCAACTATGTCGAAAGAAAATAGTTCAAATTAAAATTTATGTCATCTTTCAGGTGTTAACGAAAAATATAGAATTTAATTAAAATATATAGTTAAATTTTTTAAAGATGACTAACCAGTAATTTTCATTGGATATTTTTTAGTTGTTTTGAATAAGGTTTGGTTTGTTTTACGGCATATCGACAACTCAATGGGTTATTTAATATCGACAATATTTGCTGGCAATATTTTTTTTTTTTTTTCAAAAATGTATTGCTGGTAATAATTTTTCTTCAAAAATTTATTGCTGGTATATTTTTTAGAAAATGTATTGATATTAGAAAATCTGTCTTTACACTTTAGTAGTATTTTTATTTGCCCACAAGGTTAACTATTTACCCATATATTTACACTAACAGGTTCTACCATTAAACTTTTCTAATTGGGGTTTGTTCCCAATTAAGAGGTGGTTCCATAAATCCTCAAAACCTCCTGATCAGAGGCCTTTTATGGGCGGTTAACATGTCTTAATGCTTTGAACAGGAAAATGTGAACAAGGTTTCTATCGTCTTACCCAAACAATATTTTGAATAATATAAAAAATGTGCTGAAAATTTTTTTTTTTGAATTCATCCCAAATTCATTAAGGTTCATTCATTTAAAAATAATGAAATTAATTGTAACAGGTTTTTCATGGGACGATTTCCAAGAAATAATATAAATGAAATTTCTCTCATTTTCTAAACAAAAAATATATATATATATATATATATATTACATATATATATATAAAAAATTTATATATATATAAATATTATTATATATATATGTATAACATAAATATATATATATATATATATATATTATATATATATGAATATATATATATATATATATATATATATATATATATATATATATATATATATCATGTAACATAAAATTGTCCAAATTTATAACAATCCAATTGTCAAATTGTTAGATTAAGCTTTGAACCGTTGTATCTTAGAAATGATTAAAATATATCTTACTGAAATTCTCCAAGGTTTTTATAACACTATTGGACTCTACTTTGAACAATAAGAATGTATTTAGCTCTAAGTTGAAATGATGATCCCTCTTCCTGTTGTGACCTCCTGATCCAGTTTTCCTCTCTACTGTTTCCCCTTTTTTTAAACTTATTCACCATTCTCTTGATGGTTCTTGAATGGACTTTGAAGATGGAAGCCAGAGTATGAATGTTGGTACCATTACTGAAGGCCTGAATGATCTTTTTTTCCTCTCACCATTGCTCAGTTGGGAAGACATAGTGGGGCTGACAAAAAATGATTTTAACCTGTTCTTTTTTAGCTGAATAACTCAAAGGGTTTTTTCAGTGATTCTTACGACAATGGTGTCAAGATGGCTAAACGTCTTATCTGAAAAACCTGGAAAAAAACTAAAATTTAGTGTTTTTTAAGATATTTAAACATTTTTGGGATGGACCAAATATTAAACACTTTGTGGATTTTGGACAATTTTGCTGTTACAATTATATATATATATATATATATAATATTTGCATATATATATATACACTCTTTATATAAATTAATCGATATATAGTTACTGCGTTTTATCTAAAATAAATTTAAAATTTTCATCCCTGTCATAACATATTTTTATATATATGAATCAATTCAGTCGAATTCGATAAAAGTCTGTGGATGAAAATATAAATATATATATATATATATATATATATATATATATATATATATATATATAATAAATATGATTTTTTGAATAATAAAACATATTATTGTCGATTTATTTTTAAATTTTAATCCTCTAAAATCACAGATATTTTTCTTATATGTTTATATATTATATATTTTTTTCATTTCAATTATTTTTATGAAGATGATCTTGGATGAGATATAATAAAATTAAAAAATACTTTAACATATATCTTTTTTTAATAGTTTTCATTTTATTTCTTTAAATTTATTGATCCGTGAACATTTTGGAAAAATTTAATAAAAAAATATAAAATATTATATAGATTTTAAACATAGTTAAATTTTTATGTTTTAATATATATATATATATATACATATAAAAAATATATATATATAAATTATATTGTTTTAAAATATTCTACATTCGACATTTACACACACACACACATATAAATATATATATATATATATATATTTATATATTATAGTTTTTAAAAAATTACTCATATTTCAAAAATTGCCTTTTATTTTGATAATTCCTTGATAAAAAATTTAGAATCAAAAACTTTTGGTCCTGATCTGGCGATTCGGCTTTATCAATTTTCAAAAATTTATAACAATTGCCTCCTTTTCTTTTAACAAATAAAAAAATTTTAAACTTTTTTCTGAAATCAATTCCAATATTTTAATACATTACATGTTATTTTTAATTATATAAGTTGTTTAAAATAGGTGTCGATAATTTTATCAATTTATATGAGATGAACACTCTTGCAAAAAAGATTACCGTTTTTTTTTTAATTTTTCTTTTAAAATTTTTCTGAAATAACAGAACTCTCTTTCTGTTGTTAAAATCTTTTTTAAAATCAAATTTTTTAAAATCGCCTTATAAATTATGTTTCCTGATTAGTAATTCCTCTTCCTCTATTAAAAATATAAATTCTTTTTCTGAATTCTTTCAATTTTTATCCCCTTTTTCTAATTTTTAATTTGTTTTTTTACACATAAAACACACACACACACACACACAAAAAACACACACATAATTATATATAAATATTTTTTTTTTTTTGAAAATTCATTAAAAATTTGGAAAAAAATGTCAAAAATATTTAATTTTTTTTTCCTTACATTTTTTATTCAATATGAAAACTCTTTGCAAAGAAAAGGCTTTAGTTTTCCTTTTTGGATTTTATATTTATATATATATATATATATATATATATATATATATTTGTGTGTGCATATATATATATATACAATATATACATAATAATATATATATATATATTCAAAAATATATAAAATTTGTAAATATATACATTTTAAATGATAAATATAAATTTTTTTTTATTTATATATATATTATATATATATATATGTATATATATATATAAAGAATAGAATAAAAATATATATATTATATTGCATTATATATATATTTACTAAAATATATATATATATATATATATATATATTTTATATAAAATAAAATTAAAACTTTTATAATAAGCGAAACCGGTTGAAAACCGTTCTTTTTCATCAATGATATATGGTTTCGTGTATAGATAATAGAATAGATTATTTCATTTACTTTTTTTATTTAATTTTTCTAAATTTAATATAAATAAAATATGATCTATTTATATGATATTTCAATTTTACAATCATTGAAATAGATATTTAAGACTCATGTTTTTTTTAATAAATTCTGATTTTATTTAAAGTATTTATAATATTCATTTTTCAAATGTAAAATAATAATATTCAGAAAAAAAATATTGAAAAAAATAAAATTTAACAAAAACTCATATTTGACAAATCACTCTAAAGAATTTGAACTGTGAAATATTTTATCTGAAAAGAGAGAATGCATGGAAATATATTTTTTCTAAATGAAATTTTGATTTTTTTTGTTTGGGTTTAAAAAAAAAGAAAAAATCGTTTTAAAAAAAATATATTTTTTTTAAATATACTGTTTATTTAGAAAAATGATTTTCATATTTTAAATGATGAGATGTGATAATGTGTATTTTTTAAAAATTTTTGTTTTTCTTTATTTATCATAAAAATAAAAAGTTGTTTAAAATGGAATTTTTTTTTTAATTTAAAATTTTGGATTCTATTTTCTCAAACAAAAACGTGTTTTTCAAAGAATTTAAAGAAAAATAATTCACCAATATTCAACTTTGTTTAATTTAAATTTTTGTAAACAGGAATTTCCTTAAATCCAAAATTCTTTTTTATTTGACCTATAAAATTAGCTTTTTTTTATAAATAAATCCTAAATTCATATGCACATTACATATTTATATATATTATATATATATATATATATATATATATATATATATATATATATATATATATATATATATATAGTCTGAATTTTTCTGTTCTTAATTTGCATGTAATTTGAATTTTCTTTTTTTTTTCAAAAAAAAATAAATACATTGGTCAATTTTAATTTTTAATAAAAAAAATATAAAATTATATATATATATATATATATATATATATATATATTATATATTATTATAAATAGAAAGAGATGATTTTTTTTTTAAGGTTTTTTAATTTTTAATTTTTTTCTTTAGGATTTAATTTATTGTTTATATAATATATATATATATATATATATATATCTCTTTCCTAAATCATATATTTATATATATATTAAATATATGATAAATTTTTCAAATACTATATATAGTATATAAATTTTTTAATCATTTTATTGTTTTTTTTTTTTTTTTAAATTATTTTTCAAAAAAAATTTTGAAAATTTTTTTCAAAATGAACAATTTCTTAGAGTTTAAAGTAAATAAGTAAATTATAATAATATAATATATAATATTTATATTATATATATATATAATATAATATATATAATATAATAAGATATATAATGTCTTATAATAATATAATATAATATTTGGTTTTTATAATAAATATTAATTTATTCATCTTTCATCATGAAATCATTATTATTTAAATAAAATTTTTAAATAAAAATATATTTTTTATTTTTAAAAATTAACTTTTCTATTAATGGCTTTAAGCCGCAAACAATAATAAATAAATTAAAAACTATTAAATTTCAGAATTGTAATATTCATCAATTTTCTATTTTCCTATAAGTTTTATTCTATATCTAAACTTCATATA